TCTTGCTCAGGCTGGGCTGGCCAAATAGCTCAGTGGATTAAAGTGCCTGCAAGCAGGTGCAGAGGCTAGAGGTTCAATCCCCAGGCTTGCAGTGCCAGCCCTGCCCCCGGGACGCCCTGGGACTGTGATTGAGACTGGGCATGGTGGTTCACACCTGTAATCCCAGCTCTTGGTAGGCTGTGAACAGCCAGACCACTAGGAGTCCGATCTAGTAGTGAGACTCTGAACAACATGGAGACCCTTCCCTAAAATACAAAATAATAGTGATAATAATAATAAGTTGCTCAGGCTACACTTGAATTAGCAGTCCTCCTGCCTCAGCTGCCCATAATGCACAGATTTCAGGGCTGTACTCAAACATCTAACTGAAATCCTGATTCCTTGTAGACAGAAACTAGCAGATGATGTTATTTAAAGCAGCTACATTTAGGGAAAATTGTTTCCCCATCCCCCCAATACCAGTGATTGAACTCAGGACCTTGCGCTTGCCAGGCAAGCACTTACTCTACTGAGCTATCTCCCCGGCCCCATTTGGGGATAATTGGTTGCATAGCAATTGCAAATATGTCTCCTTGGGTGCCCCTTACCCCAGTACAGAACTTGAGGCCTTGTGCTTTCCAGGCAAGCTCTCTACCACTGAGCCACACAACAGCCCCGTGTTGCCTTCTGTCCACACCTGCGCCTTGTGCCTGTGGAACAGCTTGGGAGATGAAGAGCAGGCGTACAGCATTTGCTCTAGCAGAGAATTTTCTTTGGTCTTCCTTGCACTACTCTGGGCGCAGTATTCTGTAAATGAACCCACCGTAGGGCCTTTGCACGTGCTGTGTGGAATGCCCTTTTCCTAGTTGACCCGTGGTTAGGTCCCTCATCCCCTTCCAAGGTCTCCTCCATTCAGTATCTGACACCTGCCTCATCTACTTAAGCGCATCTCTCCTTGGGCACAGTCGCACCTCCATGTAGTGCCAGCTACGTGGGAGGCTGAGGCATGTAGCTGGAACCCAGGAGTTCAAGGCCATTTCAAAGAACATACTAAGAGAGACTCTGACCCAATATAAAACTAAACAGGAATCATTACTTTGTCTTGCTTCTTGTTGCAATTTTTTTTTTTTTTTCTGGTCTTTTTTGAGACAGGGTCTCAATATGCAGTTCATGCTGACCTTCAGTTCACTTTGTAGTGCAGGCTGGTCTTGAACTTGCAATGATCCTCCTGCCTCAGCCTCTCTTGCTGCATTTCTTTTTTTTTACATTTATTTATTGTGTGTGTGTGTGTGTGTGTGTGTGTGTGTGTGTGTGTGTGGCCAGCTCAGCCCACCAGGGGGCCGGGCTGGCTGGCATGTGGTGCTGGGGGATTGAACCGCGGTCTACTGTGCTTTGCTAAGCTTGTTCTAAATAGGTGCTTTAGACCACTGAGCCATCTCTCCAGCCCCTCTTGCTGCATTTCTATGGGCCTGTCACATAGTAGATGCTCAGGAAATGTTTGCTAGTCTACAGAGAAAATGGATCCAAATGAATTCCTGCCTAAGTGTGTGTGTGTGTGTGTGTGTGGCCAACTCAGCCCACCAGGGGGCGAGGCTGGCTGGCCTGTGGTGCTGGGGGATTGAACTGTGGTCCCTGTGCTTTGCTAAACTTGTTCTAAGTAGGTGCTTTAGACCACTGAGCCATCTCACCAGCCCCTAAAATAAAATTTTAAAAAATAATCATTATGTATATCTTTGAATTACACCAATAAACTTAATTTAAATTAAAAACTGAATAAAAAAAAGTAGAGCTTGAGTCCAGGGACTTCACACTGAGCCACACCCCTACTGCTTAAAAAGTTTGTTTTTTTTTTTAATTTTTAATTTTTGGCTGAACCGGGGATTGAACTCAGGCCCTTGCGCTTGCCAAGGAGGCACTTATTCCACTGAGCCATCTCCCTGGCAAAATTTTTTTTCTGAGACAGGGTCCAATTGAGTTCAGGTTGGACAAGTGCCTGCCTGGCAAGCACAAGGCCCTGAGTTCAATCTCTGGTACCAAAGGAAAAAAAAGTTCATGCTCAAAACAAATGAATAAATAAATAAATGACTCTAAACTCAATAGAGTTGAGGCTGGGCTCCAATTTGCAATCCTCCTGGCTCAGCCTCCTGAGTAGATGGGACAACAGGCATGTACCACCCTGCCCAGATCATTTGTGGAGTTTTTTAAAGCACATGAAAGCATATTTCCCCCATAAGCACATTAAAACACATCTCTCTCTCTCTCTCTCTCTCTCTCTCTCTCTCTCTCTCTCTTTGTATTTTAGGGAAGGGTCTACAGGGTGTTCAGGATCTCACTACTAGATTCGACTCGTAGGATTCGCCTGTTTACATCCTCCCAAGCCCTGGGATTACAGGGGCATGCCACCACAGCCAGTCTCAATTGCCTCTCAGAGCACCCCGGGGGCGGGGCCAGCAAGGCAGGCCCAGGGATGGAAGCAATGGCCTGTGTCTGCTTTTTTTTCCCCCTGTGCCTGCTTGCAGGCACTTTAGTCAGCTGAGCTATCTGATGGGCTCTTTCTTCTTCTTCTTCTTCTTCTTCTTCTTCTTCTTCTTCTTCTTCTTCTTCTTCTTCTTCTTCTTCTTCTTCTTCTCCTTCTCCTTCCCCTTCCCCTTCCCCTTCTCCTTCTTCTTCTTCTTGTGGAACCAGGGATTGAACTCAGGCCATTGCGTTTGCCAGGGAAGCACTTATTCCACCGAGCCATCACCCTGGCCCCCTGGCAGGCTCTTAAAACACATCCCTTGCACTGGAGATATAGCTCAGTGGCATAAGCAGCTGCCTGTCAAGTGCAACGTCCTGAGTTCAATCCCTGATACTGCCAAAAAAACCCCCACATCTCTTATAAACATAACCACACCATTATCACTGTGGACAATAACCGCTCATTTTTGTATCGAATGGCCAAAGATGCATTTTCAGATTTCCCTGGTTGTCTCGAGCAAGTGCTTTTTCTAGTGAGCTATCTCCCCAGCCCCCAAACATGTCCTTTTGGGTTGGGTCATGTGGCAAACCTGTAATTCCAACTACTTGTGAGGCTGAGGCAGGAAGGTCTTTTTTTGGAGACAAGTCTTGCTACATAGTTCAGGCTGGCCTTGAACTCACCATGAAACCCAGGCTGGGCTCAGGCTCATGGGAATCCTCTTGCTTCAGCCTCCCGAGTGCTGGGATTACAGCCCTTTGAGATAGGTGAATCCCAGGTGTAAGCCTTGGGTATGCAACTAAACAATTTAGTGAGGTCTTGTCTTGAAATAAAAAGTTTAAGGGGCCGGGGAGATGGCTCAGTGGAATAAGCGCTTCCCTGGCAAGCGCAGGGGCCTGAGTTCAATCCCTGGTTCTGCCAAATAAATAAATAAATAAATTTTTAAAAATATTAAAAAAAAAAGTTTAGGGGCCAGAGATACATAGCTCAGTTGCAAAAGTGCCTGCCTGGCATGCACAAGGTCCCAAGTTTGAGCCCTGGTCCCACAAAAAATAAAATAAAATATAAAAAACAAAAAAAACATATAAAAAAGTTTAGGGGCCAGCGAGTGGTCTACAGCACCTGCTTACACAAGTTTAGGCAGGTGCAGTGGACGGCAGTTCAATTCTCAGCACCATATGCCCGCGCCAGCCCTGCCCTCAGGGTGGCTGAGCCTGCCAAAATAAAACCAAAAAACAAAACAAAACAAAAAAAGAAAAGAAAAAAAGAAAGAAAGTTTAGTGTTAAAGCACTCGCTTAGCAAGCACAATGACCCCCTACCCTGTTTTATTCCCAACACCAAATAAGGAGAACATGTCCTTTTATAGTTCCTGGCTCTGTTCCTGCCCCTCTGCCAGGTTCTTTCCTATAACAATTTCCGCCCTGACCTTAATTTTCTGTATGCCTTCCCTCCTTTCACTTTAAAAAAAAAAAACCAAAAACTGTGCTCCAGGTGGGCAGACAATTTTGTCTATTTCTTTCACTGTTGTACAGAGGAGACACTCAAGTAATATTGAAGCAGTAAATCATGATCTGACATTTATTGAGAACTGTCTAACGGCATGATCACCGTTACCATCCTACGGGACTCGTGCTATTCTTATCCTAATTTCACAGACAGGAAACAGAAGCCGAGGATGATTAAAATCTGGGCTGCTCTGTTTGGATCAGATCCCTTTCAACCTTTTGGGAGAATCTTTGATCTTCTATTTTGAAGGCCCTCGGGGACTGGAGCCCTCCACCCTTCATGTCTGGTTTTGATGTCCTATTCCAGCCGCCCTGGCCCCCAAAAAGTCCTTCGAGGCTTGCTTGGTGCAGTCTCCCGGTCGGGAAGCCGCCCCTGCCTGAGGACTCGCCTGCCTCCCTCCAATCCCTCCGCTGAGCTTTGGGTGTCTCTGTCGGCTCATGTCTGTCTCGGCTGCCCAAGCTGACCCCAAGGCCCGATCAGCGCATTCTCTCCAACAGAGCGGCCCACACCTGTGATCTCAGCGGTGCAGGAAGCTAAGGCAGGAGGATCGTAATTCTAGACTAACCTGGGCAACATGGCCACTTAGCAAGCCCCCGTCTGAAAATGAAAAATAAGACTGGGCTTGGGATATCTCCCCGCGCAAAGGTCATAGGTTCCATTCTCAGTACTGAAAAAGGCAAAAACAGGGTTTGTGGGGTAGTTGCTGGGGTCCAAACTACAGTGAGTCGTGGGAACCTCGAATGTCGTCCCATTGAATTGGGACTTTCTTGCCTAAAAACAGGAGCGCCAGGTTCTTCAGCAGGGCAAAGGGCAGGGCCCCTGCTTTCTCCTTGGGGCGGGAATCGGCCTGCCCTCCCTCTCCAGCCAACCCCTTGGGAAGCCAATAGAGGACGCAGAAAAAAAAGCTTCTGGTCGTCCTGGCAACGGATGGGGGGAACCACCGAGACGTAGCTCCAGAGTGCAGAGGGGACACCGCAGGCCAGTGAGGAGCGGAGCGCTAGAGAGGCGCGCTGAGCCTATTGTCACGTGAGCCCCTCGCGGAGGCGGGACTTCCGGCGCAGCAGTATTTTCTTTCCGGTTGTTAGGACCCGCGGGTTCTTCCCTACTGGGCCCTGTGCCCCCCCGCCCCCCGCGGCGCCCCGCCGCCGGGCTAGCAGCCACCATGAAGAAATTCTTCCAGGAGATCAAGGCTGACATCAAGTTCAAGAGCGCAGGCCCTGGTCAGAAACTCACAGACTCTGTAGGGTGCGTGACCGTGCCGGGGCCTGAGGAAGACAGGGGAGGCCGGGCGAAAGTCTGAGGGATGGGGCGGGACGGGGCGGGGTAAGGGGGTAGTGAGGAGGGGGTGGCCCGATTGGGGCGGCTGGGAGATCTCGGGGCCGCGGATGGAGGGGCGGAGCATTTGGGTGTCTTGTGGGCGTGGTGTGAGTCGTGAGAGTAGGGGTGTAGAGGCTTTGGAGGCGGGGTCGGGACAAAGTGAGATAGTGTTAGACCCGAAGATGGGAGTTGAAGGAGTGGAAATACTTCGGGCTAGGAGAAAGGGGCGTCATGTTTGGCGGGGAGTGGAGAGTAGTTTAGTACCCAAGAGGGCTGGCAATGGGGGAAGGGAAACACGGCGGGGCAAAATGGAGCGGGCGTCGGCGTTATAGGAAACTGCTGGGGAATGGGGTAGGAAGAGGATGGGAAGATGTGAAGGTGCAGGGACTTGGGGGTAGTGGGACACTGGAGGAAGAAGCCAATAGTAAGGGACAGGCCTTTGGGTGAGGACGGGGTCCAGATGGGTCTGGAGAGGGGGCTGGTGGGTTAGCTCAGTGGTCTAAAGGGCTTCTTGAGCCAAATCAGTCAGAGGAGACTGGGCGTGGTGCTGTGCGCCTGTAATCCCAGCTCTTGGGAGGCTGTAGGCGGATCACTATGAGTCCGATCTAGTAGTGAGACCCTGAACATCCTTTAGACCTTTCCCTAAAACTTAAAAAAAAAAAAAAAATCAGTCGGGTAAAGGACTTCGGTTCAATCCCCAGCACTACATGCCCCACCAGACACGCCCTTAAGGCAGCCTGAGCCAGCCAAAAAAAAAATTCTTCTCAGATGGGTCTGGAGAATCTAGGTGACCATAGATCTGGGGCTGTGCCTCGAGGAACAGGAATGGCCCAGATCCTGGCATGTTATGTGAGATTTAGTGTTCCGGGAGTAGGGCTCCTGGGCCCTGGCATTGGAGCACTGGAAGGACAGAGAAGAGTCTGGGAGATCCAGTGATGTCCCTAAAGGTATCTGAGGGATAGGGTATGGGAGGAACGTATATGTCTAGGAGAGGCAGGGAGGTGGAGCATGGTGTGTGAGGGACACATCTGAGTGAGACCCTTGGGAAGTCCTAGGTGTAGACAGAGACAGGTGCCTGACAGGCTTCAGTGACCAACTGGTGGATAAGGGTTGCCCCAGGGTGCTCTAAGGAGGCCTCTGACAAGGTGGTGTTTGAGCACCAGCTGGGATGTGGCCAGATTCAGCACATGGACTTCGGTCAGTCCCCTCCACCTCTGCAGCAGCCTACTTCCTGCCCCTCCCAGGACCCTGGGTGCCACATCTTGGGCAGAAGGCACAGGGAGCACAAGGACTTTGCAGTGGGACCTGCTGAACTGGTATGCAGCAGGACAGGGAGTCCAGTGTGGACAGAGGGAAGGAGACTTTGGGGGTTTGCCACATGTGCAGTGGGAGGGTACAGACCCTGGCCTGGGTCTCAGGAGGACCTTCTGGCTACTCCGGGCAGTAGAGCCCCTGCCAGGTTGGTAGAGGTATCTTGGGACACTCTTTCTCTAGGAATCACTTCTCTCCCAGAGGTCCTCTTCCTGGGAGGACAAGAGGGAGACTGGCAGGCTGGGGGAGGCAGGTTGCTGCCAAGCATCCTGGCTAAGCCCAGGTCAGCCTAGTGCTGAGATGGTGGAGCTTCTGGGGTCTGGGAGGGTCCCCAGGGACAAGGAGTGTGAGGTGGAAGAGAGTGCTGTAGTTAGCTGATGCTGCCCTGGGGACAAGTGTGGAGCAAAGCGCTGGGGTTATGGAGGTTCCATGGGTGCTTTGACAGTACACTGTGCTAACTGCTGCAGATCCCATGAAATTTGTGCAAGGATCCTTCTTGAGCACACTGAGAGTGATTGGGCCACAAATACTTGAGACATGGTCTTGCTGAGTTGTTAAACTGTCTGTGCTGGCCTTGAACTTGTGACACTCCTGCCTCAGCCTCTGTGGAGGGATGACAGGCATGTGCCACTGTGCCTAGCAGCATTAGCCCTTTATATAGATTGGGATGTAGAGGCCTGGCTGGGGCAAGATTTGTCCTAAGGGGCAGATCCACTATCTCATGCCCCCTTATCCCCCTCTTTTTTTTTTTTTTTTTTTTTTTTTTTAAGGATTGAACTCAGATCCTTGTGTTTGACAGAGAAGCACTTATCCTCTTATCAAGGCCAGAAATCCAGGTGTAGAATCACTTGCAGGGCTTTGTGTTTGATGGGGCATGGGGTAGAAACGAGGAGGGGCAAATGTCCCACACTGGCTGTTGTAGGAGGCTGCTCACTGCCCATCTCTGTCCAGGGAGAAGGCCCCCAAGGAAAAGGTACGCCAGCCAGCCCCCAGGCAGCCCCGCCAGGGACCCACTGATGAGGCACAGATGGCAGCTGCTGCTGCCCTGGCCCGACTGGAGCAGAAGCAGCCTAGAGCCCGAGGCCCCTCTTCACAGGACTCTATCCGGAACCAGGGTGAGAGTTGGCTGCCCTCAGGCCAAAGTGTGGGACCTGGTGTGTGTGGGGGGGCAATGGAAATGGTAATGTGACCAGCACCTCCAGGGCAGTTTCTCAGCTAGAAGTCACAGAGGCCAGACAGGGTTGGGCAGCAGTGTATCTGACGTGCTAGGGGCAAGGTGACAGGGACAATTCTTGAAAAAGGTTGGGTTGCAGGCCTTGGAGGAGTGAGATGAGGTCAGGTGGGGCCAGGAATAGGCAAAGCCCATGGGAAGAACTGGCGCCTGGTCCCTAGGAGCATGGGCTGGGGCCCCTGGGGATAAGGGTGCCTTCATTCCCTCCCATCTCTGTACTTTTTTCAGTGAAAAAGGAACTTCAGGCAGAAGCGACTGTCAGTGGCAGCCTGGAGGCCCCAGAGACCAACATGGTAAGGCATCCTGCAGACCGAGGGCCATGTGGGAGGGCTGTGTGCAGAGTTGCCTCGGGGCACCAGCGCAGTTGGGAGCCCCTCAGTATGTGGCAGCCTGGTTGGGCTGCGGGTGTGTGGTGAGAACTGCAGTGAGTGGAGGCTGAGCCAGCCAGGTTAGCCCCAAGCCCCTCCTCATGGCCCCTGCAGGCGGCTGAGGGCGTAGCTCCCACATTTCAGAGAAAATAAGTTCATAGAGGTGAGTTGGCTCCTCAGGGACACATGCACATTGGCACTGGCAGGGAAGGAGTGGGACCAGTGTGTGTGGATTCAGAACGGAAGACCTGGATATAGCCTAGAACCTAGGCGCAGGGAGAGATTGGGGTTGCACAGACAGCTGCTGGGGGTGTGTCTTTCCCTCTTCTTGGTGAATTGTGAGGCAGCAGAGACGGGAGGGATACCTTACAGCCTGGGATACCAGGAAGCCCTCAGCCAAGAGGACCGGGTGGAAGGCAGTGCTGGGGCTCTAAAGGCCCCCTGCACGCTGTGGCTCTGGAGGGCTCTGCCCACAGGCCAGGCCTAGATACCTTTGCCCACAGGTACCTGGACCCAAAGAGGAAGATGGCACCCACCTGCCCGTGTCTGGTGTATACTTCACCTGCCCGCTCACGGGGGCCACTCTGCGGAAGGACCAGCGGGATGCTCACATCCGAGAGGCCATTCTGTCGGTGAGTGGTCACACCTAACTCCATGCCACCCTCAGGCCGCAGGAACTACAGCACCTGTATGGGGCCAGGCAGCTGCCTGTGGCACTCAGCTTGTTTTTGCCTCTGTTATCTAAAAGGGACACTTACGTGTGTCACATATTCATTCAGGCTCACAAGAGCAGATGATGGAGTCCCCAAGAGTAGGTTAGGTCTGTCTCTGAGGTGCCCCTTGGCGGGCGGCACAGAAGTCTCCCGACACTGGCTGTGGTGTCCATGGAAAGAGATTTGTGTTTAACATGGAAACTGTGGAGTACTGCATCAGCACAGGAAAAACCTCCCTGGGAATGTTTTTCCTTTAGCTTTTAATTGGAAATAGTTTTATACTGTAAATAAAAATTAGACTGGGTGTGTGGCCTGCGCCTGTTTTCCCAGCGCTTGGGAGGCTGAAAACAGGAGGATCACTATGAGTCTGATCTGTGCAGTGAGACCCTGTAGACCCTGCACTAAATACATTGAAGAAAGAAAGAGGAAAATTGCAGCTGGGCATGATGTCACATGGCTGTATTCCTAGCACTGTGGACAGGCTAGAGTAGGAGTGAGACTTCAACTCCAGCCTGAGCAAGTTAGCGAGACCTTTAGCTTTTTAATTGTTAGAGACAGTTAAAAAATAATAAAAAGGGCTGGGGGTGTCAGTGAGCAGGCCTTGGGTTTCATCCCTGTATTGCAAAAAAAGAAAAGAAAAATTGCAGTATTAACACAAAATGCTAGATAAACTTTCCCTGGGGTCTGAGTTCCTGATGGCTGTTACAAGTCCCAGCCCCTAAAGAACGCTGCAGCCCCGACCCATGTCCTCTTCCATCTTCCAAGCTGGCAGTGCCAGGCCAAGCTGCACCTCTTTGCTTCTCTTTCCCCCTCCTGGGCCCTTCTGCTTACATGGACAGTGGTGCCTGGAATAGACAGGTGCTCTTCGTGTTTCAAGGCCTGCCACCTTCATCCCCCTCAGCCGTGACTTCGGTCATAGTCACAGGCCCTGGCGCGTGGTATCCTTGTTCAGTTGGGCATCTGCTACCTCCCCACATAGCCAGGTGATAACAAGAGCATTGTTGCATTCTCTTCGCCTCCCTTCTCTGTTCTTTTCTAGGCTGGACTTTGAGGACGGTTCTGTATTCCTGTGGGTGGTTCCCAGGGCTACATGCTGCATCATTCTGTAGGTTTTACGTGACGTTAAAACCACCTGGGTTTATTGGCCATTGCCAAGCTTTTGTCTGCAGGAGCAGCTACCCAATGGAAAAGCTTCCCCATGTAGCACTTGACCCTGCAGGCTCAGTTGCAAAAGGCAAAAGCCAGAGCGTCGGGACAGAGGACATCCTTGATGGTGATCTGGACCTCTACCCAGGCGACTCCTTCTGGGTCATCCCAATTCAGTCCCTCTAGCACGGCTGGAGAAAGCGGCCTTCTCTCACTCTCCCTGCAGGCCACCACTTGTTGATTTTCACCCAGATTGATAGGTGAAATCGGTGTCTTAGGGAAGATTTGGTTTGCATTCCTTTGAGTTGGATTGGCCATGTTTTCATGACATCATGTCTTTTTTTTTTTTTTAAATTATTTATTTATTTTAACATTTATTTATTGTGTGTGTGTGTGGCCAGCTCAGTCCACGAGGGGGCAGGGCTGGCTGGCATGTGGTGCTGGGGGATTGAACCGCGGTCCCTATGCTTTGTCAAGCTTGTTCCAAGTAGGTGCTTTAGACCACTGAGCCATCTCTCCAGCCCATCTTTTTTTTTTTTTGTGGCAGGACCGGGTATTGAACTCAGGCCCTTGAGTTTGCCAGGGAAGCGCTTAGGCTACTGAGCCATCTCCCCGGCCCCATGACATCATGTCTTGTACAGTTTTTCACTGTGTACTTGTTTTTTCGTATTGACTTGTAGGCACTGTACATATTAGTGAAGCTAGACTTTTGCCTATTTGTACATATTCTCTAGCTCAGTATTTTCTGCTTAGTCGCTTTGCCAGGTAGGAATTTGTGGTCTCTGTGGACTTCATGGCTTCCAGGTCTTACTTAGGAATGCCTTTCCTATCTCATGCTAAAATGATTCTTCCATGCGTTTCCTAGTGTCTTCTACTTTATCCTGTGTTCCATCTTACCTGTCTGAATGTTCAGAAGCCCTAACCCAGCTGAAGCTCATCCCCAAATGCAGTGTGAGGTGCTTTTCCTTTACCCCCAGACCTGTTCAGTTTTCTCAGCCTGGTAGAGCAGGAGCATTTATGCTACTGAGAGATGTGAAGGAAGTCCGACCTTTGACACCCAGCCCCTGTGATCGCCATGTGGCTCCCCTGTGGAGGAGAGCCCATCACAGGGCTGCCGTCCTCCCCCATCATCCAGCCTGGGTCCAGGTCATGATGCCGTGGCTGGCTGTGGACTGTAAGGAGCATGATGGCTCTGTTGTCCTCAGGTGTCCTGTTCTTGGGCTCCAGCTGGCATCTGGGGCTTCCAGGGTTCCAGCTATGACTGCCCCAATCCCCAAGGGAGCAGGTAGGCCCAGGGAAGGGGCTGGTGTGTCTGGCTTCCTCCAGTTCTGTGTAGATGTCAGGGATTACACACTCATGTGCATCCCCCTTGCCATCTGCCTGCTGTGTGCCCTGTGAGGGACTTGCCACCTCTGTGTATCTCATTACTGCACAGCCAGAGTATGCCTTGGCAGGCTGCATGGTGGTGTTAAGAGTGGGCCCCAAGGCCTGAAGGACTGGAGTTGCTGAGGCTCTAAGTCAGACTGTGGGCAGAACTCTGGCCACATCAGCCCCAGAAGTCAGCCAAGGCGAGCTTGCCTGTCTCGTCTTGTGGTGCTGGGGATGGAGCCTGAGGCCTGTGCGTGCTAGGCAGCCCACCTCCAGCTTTGTTTCCTCTCCCGTTTTGGCCACCACTGTCGGTCTCCAGAGGGGAGAGCAACAGGGTGGCAGGGCTGGGTCCCCACAGGCTTCAGGTCAACGTGGCCCTGCCCCAAGTGCACCATCAGCACTGTTGCTGTCACCATTCCTGTCCCTGGGCAGCAGTGTGAGCGTTGCCTCAGCCTCTCCCCTTCCCCAGCACTTCTCCACTGACCCTGTGGCCGCCTCGATCATGAAGATCCACACGTTCAACAGAGACCGGGACAAGGTGAAGCTAGGCGTGGATACCATCGCCAAGTGAGCAAGCCCTGGGGAGGGGTCGGGCCACTTGTGCCTCAGTTTACCTGTTGGTGAGACAGCTCTGAGGAATTGGTGGCTCCCTTGCAAGGCATCCAGGGGACTCGTGATGGGGACAGGGTCTGGTGAGCGGCCCAGGTGATGGCTGTTGTCTGGCTCCATCCATTTCCCCCAGTGGGATCAGCCACTGCCTTCTAGGGCAGTAACTACCGGGGGACTGTGGTGGGGACGTGTTCCCTGGGGCATCAGCACAGTGGCTTTTAACCCAGTGGGGAAGTTCAGAAGCCGAGGCACTGGCAGGCCTGAGCCCCATACTGTCCTCCCCAGGTACCTGGACAACATCCACCTGCACCCGGAGGAGGAGAAGTACCAGAGGATCAAGCTGCAGAACAAGGTGTTCCAGGTGGGCTGCACCTTGTCCTTAGCATGTGGCTGGGACCTGGACACTGGGGACTGAGTACAGGTTCTGGAGGGGTGCATGGGGTAGCTTTTCCTCCCCAGACAGGTGACTTCTGAGTTTGAATTCTCTAAGAACACAACCAAGTGAGGTGGGTTTCATGCAGACACAGACGGGGCTCCCTGGAGTGTGGTGGGGTGCAGCCCTCTGCCTCTCCTGTCCAGGGGACCCAGCCCTGCCTCCCTGCTGCTCTTCTCTCTGGAGACCCATGGTGGTGGCCAAAACAGGAGAGGACAGCATACATAGGGCACTCTGCCCTGAGGCCTGCTCTTCAGGCCCTGGTGGTCGGCCAGTCCCCATTGCCTCCGAGGCGCTGGTGCAGGCTGCAGTCTCTGCTCCCTTAGAGTAGCATGTTTGGAGCTGGGTATGGTGCTCCATGCCATCATCCAGGCACTCAGGAGGCTGAGGCAGGAGAACTGAGTTTGAGGCCAGCCTTGGCAATTCAGTGAGACCTTGTATCAAAATAAACAGAAAAATGGCTCAGCATGTGTGCTCTCAGTCTGGGCAGGAGTAGTGTGGCCTGGGCAGAGGAGGAGGCTTCTTAAGTGACCTCTGTCTCACCCCCAGGAGCGCATCACCTGTCTGGAAGGAACACAGGAATTTTTTGAGGCCATTGGTTTCCAGAAGATGCTGCTGCCCATTCTGGATCAGGGTGAGCAGAGGGGACCAGCAGCCTGAGCTGAAGGTGGGGACCACCAGGGCGGTGCAGTGACCCCATGCATGTTCTTGAAGAGGGCGCAGAGGAGGAGTTCTATGTGCTGAGTGAGGCTGCACGGGCGCAGCCACAGAACCTGGCACGGCACCGCGAGCAGCTGCTGGCTGCAGAGCCTGTGCGGGCCCAGCTGGACCGCCAGCGCCGGGTCTTCCAGCCCTCCCCTCTGGCTTCGCACTTTGATTTACCTGGGGACTTCTTCAACCTCACAGCGGAGGAGCTCAAGCGGGAGCAGAGGCTCCGGTAGGCCGGGCACGTGTGGTTTGGTGGGCAGGCGGGTCCTGGGCCCTACCCATGCTTGACATCCATGCTGTGTGCTCTCAGGGCTGATGCAGTGGAGCGGCTGAGTATGCTGCGCACTAAGGCTATGCGGGAGAAGGAGGAGCACCGGGAGCTGCGGAAATACAACTATACGTTGCTGCGCGTGCGCCTGCCGGATGGCTGCCTGCTACAGGGTAAGTGGGTGAGCCGGTGGGTGGGGCGGCCCAGTGGGGTTCTGCCTGCCTGCCTGCGCCCTGCAGCTAACCATGCTGACCTGCAGGGACCTTCTATGCCCGGGAGCGGCTGTCAGCACTGTATGAGTTCGTGCGAGGGGCCTTGCAGAGCGATTGGCTGCCTTTTGAACTGCTGGTCTCTGGCGGACAGAAGTTGGCTGAAGATGAGAACGTGGCCTTGAATGAGTGTGGGCTGGTCAGTGAGGGGCTGCAGTGGGTTGGGAAATGGGTTTATTGTGCAGCAGACCCTGGGAGCTGGGTTGCTGGCCCTGAAGAGAAAGGAGGCCCCTAGGTTGGCAGTTGGGAGGAGAGCCTGGGCCTAGCTCCTTTGTTTGAATTCTACCCGCATGGTTGTCCCTACCTGTGTGATCTCAGCATTCCAGGAGGCTGCGGCAGGAGGATCTTGAGTTGGAATAATTTCAAGGCTTAATAAGATTGCCTTGAAAAATACAAAGGGCGAGGTCTGTAGTCCAATGTATAGTCCTGGTACATAGACCCCATCCTCCCAAAAGAATCCCACCATTACCTTGGCCTGCTGTGTGTTCTCCAGTGAGTCTGTAGTGGTGGCCATTTTCCTTCCTGGAGTGGAGGGCGGGCCTGGCTGGCCTCAAACTCAGTTCTCCTGCCTCAGCCTCCTGAATGCCGGGATGGTGTGGAGCACCACACCCACCTCTCTATTCTCTTGAGGGGCAGAACCAAGTGGAATTAAGATACACAGGAGGTTGGGCCAGCAAGATAGCTCAGTAGACTAGACACCTGCTTAGGCGAGTGTAGAGCCTGCAGTTTGGTCCCCAGCACTACATGCTACACCCACCCCACCCCTGGGTGCACTGATCCCACCACCAAACCAGATGTGTTGGTACATGTCTGCAATCCCAGTGCGGGGGAGGCTTGAGACAGGATCACTATGAGTTTAAGCTGCATAATGAGACCCTGTACCAAATACATTAAAAAGAATGTGCAGGGGCTTATTGGTGGAGCCTCAGAGGAATTCAGCAAGGCCTAGGCCCCCTGTGCCCCAGTCACCTCTGTGGGGGACTCCCTGTGTGAACAGCCCACTGTATTCTGTGCTGTCCTTTGGGAAAAAGGTGACAGTCTGACCACCCCGCCAGGTACCCTCAGCCCTCCTGACCTTCTCATGGGATGCAGCTGTGCTGGAAGACATCAGGGCCGCGGGGGCAGAGCCGGAGTCTTCCATCCTGAAACCGGAGCTCCTGGAGGCCATTGAGCAGCTCTCCTGAAATAAAGGCAGAGTTGGCTTCTCCCCGGGTCTGTCTTCTCGCTTGTCCCTGTCCCTCTCCCAGGCTGTGAGCCGCCTCTGGAAGCACCTGCTTGGTGCGAGCCCCCAGACGGGAGGCACTGGCTGGCTGTGAGGATGTAGATTCAGGCTCGTGGAGACTTGGTCCCTGGGGTCACCGTGGGGCAGCTCCATGCCCGTGTCCCGGAGCCCCAGGGCAGAGCTGCACGGACTGCGTGGACATAGCTTCCATCCAGCACTGGGGTTGGTGCCACTGCAGAAGTTGGCTGAAGATGAAGAGGTGCTGCCCTGAGAACATAAATCTGTAACTTCTAACTTATAAACCTAAATAAATATTTGAATACAGTTTCTTCTGGTTACTTAAATCGTGGTGCAGGGCAGGTGGCTTCAGGGCAGGTTTTCAAACCAGATGTCACCCTCTGAGCTGGCCCACACCAGAATACAGGGGTCCCTTTGTTTGCTTTATTGGTCTGGTTTGTCACTGTTAATATCCAAGGCTGGGTAGAAAAGCAGTTAATCAGCTCAGTTGTAGAGAATTTGGGCTCAGTGCTGGTGTGGTCTTTGTGTCAAGTGGCACAGAGCTCAGGGAGGGTGGGGTATGTGGCTGTTTCCTGTCTGTGCCCATCTCTTCTGAGGGATGTAGTCTACAGACAACTCCCAGCAGGCACTGCCTCTTAAATGGCCCATACCTCAGTCTTGCAGCCCTGGGGACCAAGTCCCGTGCCACCCTCCCCCACCCCCCACCAGTTCTTAGAGAATATGCTCAAGCCTTCTGCTCAAGGCACACAGACCTGGTTTTGGTGTGGTTTCCACATTCCCCAAAGACAGCCCCAGAAGTGAGATGAAGCAGCACTGTTTGGCCCACCTCCTGCGTGGAGGAGCCGACCACCATGACAGGTACCCAGGGCCGTGCTCTTCCTCATCTGGCCCCATCCCCACCAGTCCCTTGCAGGTTAGAGGCCCTGCTGGCCATGGTGTGGAGGACCAAAGCACCACTGTTCTCCCATCCTTTGCCAGCTGTTTCTAGGATTCACTTCCAGGCTGTCAGTTCCTCAACTGCACTGGCCTAAGAGGACCCTCGGGGGTGGGCTTGGTTCCTCCTGGGGGCCCCACTTGGAGCCATTGTGGTGTGGGGAAAGGCAGCCTAGGAGGCCAGGATAGAGCTGCCAGGTCCACTGTCCTGACAGTCGAGCTGTGCACAAAGCACCAGTCTCTCTTGGGGTCAGAGACCACAGGAGTCTGTGCTCCAGATAGGGATATAGAAGGGGCCGAGACTTGGCCCCTGCAGGCCAGCTGTTGGGGCTGCCACAGCCCACAGACTATCTCCAGTCTGCTCTACCAACCACCCTCCCCCAAGGTGCCCAGCATGGATGTCACTGAGCCTGGCTTCAGGGACACAGCTCAGCCACCCCCAGGGCACAAGAGGGACAAAGCCTCACTTCCAGCCAGCTCAGTGGGAAGACTCCCCAGTACAGCAGGGGAGGCACTTCCTGGGGCACCAAGCTTCCACAACACACACGCTGGGTTGCGGGCAACACATACACTCAAAGATCCTAATGTACGGGACAGAAGACAAGACAGGCAAAGGTCAGGGCTAGAGAACAAGTTTATACAATTCCACATCAGGCCAGCGCCCGTGGTGATGGCCACAGGTGTCTGGCGATTCAATTCATTTACATGCAAGCGTCTGACCCAGCAGCACCTGCGTGTCTCGGGGCCTGAGCAGGTGCCTGTGCAGGTCACACCTTGAAATAATGCTTATTTAAAGGACAGATTAATATGCAGCTTTGGGAGTGAGATTTTTACAAATGTCAGGAACTAATCAGGCATCCATATAAATCCATATAAACCTTTCCAGACCCCAAGAGGCCTGTGAAGCGGGACAAAGTGCTCTTTACACAGGAGTCGGCAGTATGTTCAAGTATTGGGTGCGTGGCGGGATCACTCCACATGCGCACTGTCTGCTGCTCAGGAGGCGCCCAGTGGACTCGTGGGCAGCGGCCCCTCGCTGGTATCCATCCCCACCGTATCTTCAGCTCCAGATGTGGTTCCGCATGGTTCCTGGGCCTCTGGAGGGGAGAGCCTGCTGTACCACGTGCTCTCTGCCCTGTTGATCCTACCGCCTCCTGCCGCTGTGCTGCCCTGACTCTCACCTCAGAGTCCCACCCTTGTCTCCTCCAGCTTGCTCTTGCTCAGCCATGCTGGCTGCAGGGCCTTGGGCTTCCCTCTGCCTAGGTCTCCCTCCCCAGAAAGTCATCCAAATCTTTTTCTTTGGAAGTACTATGGACAAAACACAGGGATATGGCATGGAACTGTATCCCTGGCCCTTTTAAAAGTTTTTATTTTGAGACAGGGTTTCCTTAAGTCACTAAGTCACCCAGCCCGGGTTCAGACCTGCAATTCTTCTGCCTTAGCCTCCCAGAATACTGGGATAAGAGGCTGGCACTATCACATCCGGTCTTGCCTATTTTAACTTGACCTCTGTGATGTGCAGAGTGAACCAAAGCACGCAGGTGCTTGAAACCGTTTGCATTCCTAATACCTTGGATGTCCATAAGGATACAATCACCGTCATCTTCCTCTTCTTCTTCTGTGTCCGCCTGGAAGCCATCCATGTCCCCAACTCCAATCTGGACAGAAAGGGACAGAGACTGTCAGCATTTAAGAGGGGGCAACCAACCCCCCAGTCACAAGCATCTATTGTGAGCCCCTCCTCACACTGGACAGCCTTGAGCACCTGACCTGGGGGCAAACTGCACTCGAGAGGTACAGCAGTGAACCTAAGACCAGAGGAAAGCCCGTGTCCTATGCGGTGTACTAGACTTCTATCTCTGGGGGCCGGGGAGATGGCTCAGTGGAATAAGCGCTTCCCTGGCAAGCGCAAGGGCCTGAGTTCAATCCCCGGTTCCGATAAATAAATAAATAAATAAATAAATAAATAAATAAAGACTTCTATCTCTGAAAGCCACTACTGTCACTATCTACCTCATCAAAGAAGTAATTTGTGAATTTGAACAAAAAAAAATTTGTGGGGTAGGGGGATAGCTCAGGGGTCTAAGTGCCTGCCTGGCAAGCACAAGGACCCACGTTCGATCCTTGGTACTGCATGCTGTGCCAGCACTGAGCCGGCCACTGAAACTAGGCTTGGTGGTGCACGCCTGTAATTCCAGTGCTGGGGAGGCTGAGACAGGAGAATCACTATGAGTCTGAGCTGCATGGTAAGACCCTGCACCAAATAAATAAAGATTAAAAAAAAATAAAAAAATAAAAAATCATTAGGGTTCCTACTTTGGCTTGAAAGAGAAATTGAGCGAGGTATGGTGGTGCACACCTGTCATCTCAGCTCTCTGGGAGGATGAGATAGGAGAATGCCAAGTTTGAGCCCCTCTGGGCAACTTAGCAACTCATTGTTTCAAAATGAAAAAATTTTTAAAAGGCTGAGGATGTAAGTCCATATGAAGGCCCTGGTCTAGTGCCCAGTACCCCTTCCTTAGGGGGGCTACTGCCACAACACCCTCCCGCTGAGCTCTTGGCAGGGTAGCAGTGTCTTTGGTGCCATCACCCAGGGCTGGGGCTGCTTTGACTGGTCACAACTTTGTCTCAGTGATCCCCAAAGGATCCTGCCAAGGCAACCGGAGAAAGATCCAGAGGCTTCTCATGAACAAGGCCTGAGTGTCCCAAGAAAGTGCCATGGTCACTGCTTTTTGCCTTGGCAGAATGGACAGTGGCAAGTGCTTGCTTAGCTCGTGTGATGCTCCAGGTTCAATCCCCAGCTTTGTAAAACGAGAGCCCTTAAATCTGCCGCTTGCTGGCCTGAAGTCTACACCAGGTTCCTGTGTATAAAATGATCAGCCGAGGGTCAGAGCTGTGCACTGAAGTCCCCAGGCTGCACACTTCCAGCTCTGCTGCTGCAGGGGACTGCACGCGGGGAAGCGACACACTTCCTCAGAGTGGCCTGGCACTCTGCAGGGGCAAAAGTGGAGATGAGGGTTTTCCCTAACACAAAACATTATCCCTCGTCTAGTGCCACACAGACCTGATGCGTGCCATCGCAGGGATTGGGCAACACTCAGTCCCTCCGCTAAGGCAGCCTTGGCATCACTGGTCACTACCACCACCAGGCAGAGGCAGAGGAAAGGGAGATGGAAACTCCAGCTGGTCCTTCCTTTTCCTTTCTTGCTCTGGAGATGCGCCTTGCTAAGTCTCCCGTGTCACGGAATACATCTGCTTGTCTCCCCACGGACTTATGTCAGAGCCAGGGCTTGTGGGAGGTGACTGGATCCTGGGGGGCCTCCAAGGGCTTGGTGTTGGCAGAGCGGTCACTGGGTGGATCCTGGAAGTGCCTATCTCTTGGTTTCCAGCTTCTTTCTGCTTCCTAGCCACCAGGTGGCAAGCAATTCACCACCACAGCAGCCCTCCCATGACTGCATCTGCCCTGGACCAGCCTTTAAACTATGGGTGCCTGAGTACTGAGTCCCAGCAATGGGGAGTGACTAAGACACCCAAGCTGTCCCTAAACTGCAGCTAACCTCCTGCCTCGGCCTCATGCGGAGCTCTGATAACAGGCACACACCGTCACGTCTGCTACCTTGCATCAGTCACAGGCTGTTTGGCTGGGAATGGCAAATACAGCCTATGTAATAAAAACTTAAAACCAAGGCCAAGGAGCTGTGGCATTCTCAGACCAAACCTGCATGGCAATGGCTCACCCTGGCCCTCCTACTAGGTCATTAACACCGGAGGACTGAACATTGGATTCTTGAGCTCTGAAAGTTGTATGTCTGTCTGGGTTTGGTACAGGGTCTCACTATGCACCGCAGACTCGTAGTGATCCTCCTGTTTTCAGCCTGCCCAGCGCTGGGATTACAGGCGTGCTCCATCATGCCCGGCCTCCAGGCCAGCTCAGCGCTTGCCTAAGCAGGCACTTAGTCTGCTGAGCTATCTTGCCGGCCCCGAATGTGAACTTTATTTTATTTATTTATTTATTTACATTTATTTATTTATTGTGTGTGTGGCCAGCTCAGCCCACCAGGGGGCGGGGCTGGCTGGCATGTGGTGCTGGGGGATCGAACCGCGGTCCCAGTGCTTTGCCAAGCTTGTTCCAAGTAGGTGCTTTAGACCACTGAGCCATTCCTCCAGCCCACCCAAATGTGAACTTTAAAAATGTGCAGATAACACAAAATTTTGACACAAACAGCCCTGTGCACACCGTTTCTAGTCAGGTAGCAGCCTCCGGCAGGGCATTACACAAGACAGGACCACACTGAGTGCAGAGCAGGCACCCCAGCTGCTGTGCCCCCTGCACGGCCTCTGCCACACACTTAAGGCTCTGTGCCTCTCTGCAAAACACAACTGGCGCTGCTGAGTCTTCATCTCCCCAGACGCTGGCAGCTACCAAGGTCAGAAGTCAGCCCAGAGGGGCAGAGACTGGGCCGGGGGAGCGTGAGTATAAAGGATGTTCTCCATGTCACACCAGCTCAGGGAGGACCTTGTGACCCTGAGCACAGGACTTCCAAGGGGTCTTTGGGCAAGAACACAGGGCCTCTCTGATTCACCTGAGCCCTGCTGTGTCGCTGAAGCACCTCACTGCCAGGGGACCTGCCCACACACAGCCTGAGGTCCACATTACCGTTTCACACAGAGAAGCAGGGCCAGGCAGGGCAAGCAGGGTGGCACCTGACACGGCCCACAGCGCCGCCCAGCTACTCAGAGGCTCACTGGGCAGGGCATCCTCCCTCATGAGATGGTTCAGGTGCTTGTGCGTCACACATCTGTCCAGAGCCACAGTGTTCAATGCTAAGCAGAACCCTGAGGTCAACTGACAGGGGGACAACGTGCAAGTGCTGAGGTCCAGCTGTCAGACACTGGGCAATGGAGGAGGCTACGGCGGCTCTACTTTCTATCCAATTTCTGCCCACCTAGCGCTGCTCCAGAAAATGAAGGAGCCCCTGGGGCCCCCTTGGCCCGGGCTCACCTACCTGCCCATCGTGCCTCCGCTTCTTCATAAACTGCGTGATGCACATGCTGCCCGCCGACTTCCTCTTGAGCAACACAGGGGTCCCCTGGCTGGGTGGTGTGGCAGGGACACCACCACCGTCCTCTCTGGGGGTCGAGGGCACCATGGTGACGTAGTTCCACTGGCAGGGCACGGGCAGGTGCTCCTGGTTGAAGCTGTGCAGCACCTGCGGGTGGACGTACCAGCACATCCTGAAGTCGGGCCGCTTCTCGTACACCGAGTTCTCGGAGATGATGCGCTTGAGCCTGGCCTTGGAGGGCACGGCGGCGTCCTCAGTGGGCGTGTGTGGGCATAGGGTGGTGGGGCTGGGGGGGGTGCTGGCCTCCCCGATGCTCAGCAGGCCCCGGCGGCAGTGTTCCTGGAACTCGCGGATGATCACCTTGCTCCCGTTCACATTGCCATGCAGCAGGGGCAGCAGCTGGGCCAAGACTGGTGGGACAGGGCACACGGGGGTGGGGTGGGTAGGTGGGTGGGTGGGTGCTGAGATACGGGGTGCAGATCCCTGGGGGCCACAACTGCCTACAGGGTTCAGCCACAGCTGGCTTCTGGGAGTCCTCCTAAGGATGAACTGCAACAGTACTATATTGCACGTGGGCTCCAAAGCAGCATTGACAACCCTGTGGGTGGTGAGGCCAACACTGCTTGGAGGAGTAAGCACAGCCAACATCTGAGTGGCCATGTCCCCTCGGTCTCCACAGTGCTGGGGATGGAACCCACAGATTGCACTGAGCTACACCTCCAGCCCTTTCTATTCTGAGCTCAGGCCTTGCTAAGCGGCTCAGGCTGAGCTCAAGCTTGTCATCCTCTTGCCTCAGCCCAAGCAGCTGGGATCACAGGTCCACGTCACTATGTCAGCTTACCATTTTTATTTTCAATTGTTTTATTTATTTATTTATTTTTCTTTTTTTGGCGGAACCAGGATTGAACTCATACTTATTCTACTGAGACATCTCCCCGGCCCCTTTTTAATATATTTTGTGTAGGGTCTCACTACACAGCTTGGACTCACATTGATATTCCCGCTTTCTTTTTTTTTGGCGGGAACTGAACTTAGAACCTTGTGCTTACCAGGCAGGCGCTTATTCTACTGAGCTATCTCCCTGGCGATCCTCCTGTTTTCAAGCCTCCTTGCACTGGGATTACAGGTGTGAGCCACTACGCCTGGACACGGTCGCTGGCTTGACATGTGGTGCTAGGGCTCGAACCTTGGTACCTGCGACTGCCTAAACAGGCGCTTGGTCTGCTGAGCTATCTTGCTGGCCCTTGCTTACCGTTTTTAGACACTATCTTTGACCCTACTTTTGAAAGTCAAAGAGAACAGCTGTGTCCCAGGGGCACTCTGTGCTGTATCCTGGCGATTAGAATGACCAGTCAACACTGGGGAAGTGGCTGTGGAGCACAGGTGCCCAGCATTCACGAGGCCACGGGTTCCAGCCCATCACCCAGACTCCCCACACCTGCGCCCACTCACTCTGCTGGTCCCGCTTCTCCCGCTTGGAGGCCTTGGGCGCCAGCTCGTCCTCAGAGGGGGCTGGCTCCAGCAAGCAGGCTGCGAACTGCTGCAGCACCTTGAGGTCGGCGGCTGAGCAGCCCACACCGTCAGCCCACACACAGCCGATCTGCACAGGCTGGAGCACTCGGAATCGCTTCCCCTTGGCCAGGAACTCGTCCCACTCCTTGGCCTTGAGTTTCTGGCGCACCTTGTGCTTCTCCGGGTCGGTGCACTCCTTGTGGATGAAAAAAGAAAAGTCGTTTAGGGGCCCCACTCCTCTTAGGTCCAGCAGTGCCAAAGATGCTGTCTTCAGTGGCAGCTGCTGTCCCGCAGGAACATGACAGGAGGAGCACTGCCAGGTGGCATGGCTGGTGCATCACAGGTACTCTCGTGATCTAGCCACTCAGCCTCTTTCTGCCGCTCTCACTTCCCTGGCCTGTGGTCAAATCAATACGACCTCTGTTTGAGAAATAAAAAAAAAAAAAATCAGAAAAGAAATATTTGAAAAACTCAAACTGAGGACATCTCTACAAAAAAATTGGACCTGGAACCATACAACATGTCAAGGATCTGAAATCCAAGGGAAGACTAAGGAACAGATGGAAAGATTCTACAAAGATATGACTTCTGCTTGCAGCAAGTGACCATCTTTACAGTATGAAAGATATCAGTGAGGCAACTGATGGAACTCATCCTCTGGACAGAGTTTACAAGAGTGTGATGTTCTTGAAACTTCTTCATATGTTTGACATTATTGTCAAATAAATATTTTCATGATATCAATTAAAAAAAAAAAATCAATACGACCTCACACACCTTTCCTGGCATGGCCCCTGCCCAACAGCCACGCCAGGCCAAGCCCGCTGCAGACTGGAGCCGTAGTCATCAGGACTGAGCTGTGGGATGCGCTGCCCCAGGACTGAGCTGTGGGGTGCGCTACTCCAGGACGCAACTTTGTCTCAGTGGTCAGAGACAAAGACACACTCCCCCTTGAGTCGGACTGTGGGCAGTCGTGCATCCTCCCAACCTACTGACTACAGGCCTTGTGCCCAGAGCTGCTGCCCAGCCAGGCCCTGCACTTGTACCTGCAGTCACCTACACACACACACATCCTGCCACACCAGGACAGAAACAAGGTCAGGATCAGCTATGCCCACAGGCGACCTACAGCTCGAGGACTCTGCCCCTGCCCCAGTGGGGAGCGAGGTATGGGCAGAATCAGGTCACAACCCACAGCCACAGATTCAGGTCATGAGCCATCAAGAAGTGGCCTAAGGTATTTTATACTATGTTCACATCTGCTTCTTTTTTATGTTAAGGCAGAGTGCTTTTTCTAGAAACATGGTGTCACTATGTAGCCCAGGCTAGCTCAGAGAGCCTCCTGCCTCAGCACTCCCCCAGTGCTGGGGTTACAAGCATGGCCACCACACCTGGGTAAGATACGGTCTTGCTAAATTGCCCAGGCCAAACTGAAACTTGCTGCCCTCCCACCTCAACCTCTCGAGTGTTGGCACAAGGGTATGCAGCACCCGGTGCCCAGCTGAGCTCCTTCCGAGCCAGCCTGCCTTACCTCAGTCACACCCTCATCCTCAGAGAGGTACCCATGGGGCACTAAGAAGCCGTCGTCCTCATCCTCATCCTCCCCCACCTCCTCCTCATCATCCTAAAAGGAGGGAAAAATGACTTAGTCCTATGCAGGAAAAGAATATAAATTTCACTACGAAAACTCAAACAAGGTCCTGGGTATGGCTCATGGGGCCCTGGTTCCAGCCCCAGCACACACGAGAACGCTGATGTGCAGACACCCTGGGGAAGTCCCACAGCCCTGAGATTGGGGGAATCACTGTCACAGAGGCTCGGGAGGCAGAGGTGGCTGCAGCTGCCAGGGCTCTGAGGGAAGCCTTTGTTTCAGCTGCCCTTACCCCTTCACTGTGGGACAGTGACTCCCCAGGCTCCTCCTCTTCCCATTCTTCATCGCTGTCCACCTCATAGTCAAGGAGCTTCTGGAGGGAGACAGAGGATGTCACTACTGCTGTGGGCATTGAGGGCAGGGCACCGATGCCAGCGAGCGTATGGAATCTGCATGCTGAGGCCCTTGTGAGAGCCTGCCAGAAGCTGGGCACAGCAGTGGTGTTTACCTTGTCCTGAGCCCAGGGGTGCCGAGGGTGGATGACTGCTGTCCTCTTATTCCACGTCCCCCAGTACGCTGGCCGGTGGTTCTCAGAGAACTGCAGGAGCTTCATGCGGCCAAACTTCCTTCTTTCGGGCACATTGTCACCCTTGCTGGTCTCCACAATCACCACATCCCTGAATAGCCAGACGGTGCTCACACATGTCCCCTGGCACTCACACCCCAATTATACACACAGGTGTGCACCCTGGGGCAGCTCAAGAGGTCGCCATGACCTAACAGAATGATGAGCACAGTCCTGCCTGTCCCCAGACCAATCCATGGAGCATGCCTATAAGCGACACAGGTCAAGACAGCCCAGAACCAGGCTGCTGTGGACTATGTAACCCAGCAAGAGCAAGGCACGTTATGCTGGAAGAAACTATCCCTTCTGGGGAAAGTGAAGACAGGATTGGGGGGTTCATCACAGCAGAAAGGGTGGAGGAAGCCTGAGGCCCAGGAGGAGATGAGGGGACAAGTACCACTGGCCAGCAGCAGGAGCCCAGCCCTGTGACACCACCTTGGTCCCTCAGGCTGTGTGATTCCGACCTAACCTGTTGACAACGTCTGTGTCCCGGCTGCAGATCCCAGTGGGCCCAGACATGAGTGGCCGACGGCCTTTGAGATCTTTCAGGAAGGAGAAGTCTCCATTTTGCTGCTGGAGGAGCTGGTCTAATCGATCACAGAGGTCCTGGTCCAAAGCAGCACGACATCGAGGGGCCAGGACCATGTGCTCTTTAATCTCAAAGGGGGCAAACTTCCCACAGGAGCCAGCCAGGGTCTGAAATAGAGAGGCCCCGTGAGACACAGGCAGGAATGAGGCCCCTCCTGGTCGGGAGAACGTGCAGGGAACACTCACAGGGGAGCGTGGGGGCTTAGGTGCTCAGGGCAAAAGAGAATTCTGAGAAGCTGGATACTGCACAAGCCCATCTACACCTGATTCTGGAAAGGCACAACTACAGGGGCATCACGAGGACAAAAGGTTCCACACCTCGGCCTGCTAACGTCTGCCTGAACTATGGCAGGTGCTGGAAAAGGCAAATTTTATTGTGTTATGGTTTGTGTCTAATTATCCCCCAAAGCCTTGTGCAGTCATAGGGCAGCTTCTAGTGATTGATTCCTGGTCCAGTACTGGGACTGCAGGTCTACACCCTGGCCCTGGGGTGGGTAATCTGCATTACAGTGTAAGGAGGGAGAGAAGCTTGCTGGCAGCCACAGCTGCTTCTCTTTGTTCTCTGCTGTCACCATGAAGGGCTGCTCTGTGCCCTGCCACGTGCCACTCCGCCTTGGAGTCAGCCTATGGACTGCAACCTCCCTAACTGTGAGCTAAATAAACTTTTCCTTTCTTCATTTTGGGTGTCGGATATTTGTCCCAGCAACAACACAAGAGTAACTAAGACATACTGTATAAAATTATCCCTCAATAAACCTGTACAGATACATGGAAGGACAGAAAAGCAGATGGATGGGTAACAAGACCCTTCAAGACACAGGTAGAGTGCCCACAACCCTCAGCCAAGCCCCCACACCAGCTCCTATCAGGGGAGAGACTGGCCTGCCAGGAGCCACAGCCTAAAGATATGAAGTGATTTATAAAGTAAGCAGATTTTCAACACTGTGGCCCAGCAGGATCCTGAAACACCACAGAAACTTTCTCAGCCTCCACACATCATCAATTCTGAAGTCTGATCCCTTTTTCCTGTTCCTCTTCAGTGCCAGCACCTGTGGATCCTGACTGTGGCAGGGCAGGAGGAGGAAGACTTGGGGGGCATCCATGAGGCTTGCATGGAGACCAGTTTCTGAGCTCAGGAGGGAAGTACCAGTGCTAGCATCCTGCACAGGGGCACAACACAGCACTCATGGGAACTGTTAAAACCCCAGTGCCAGCTGGGCATGGGAGCACACAGCTATAATCCCTGCACTTGGGAAGGTGAGGCGGGAGGATCCCCAAGAGTTTAAGGACAGCTTGAGCTACACAGTAAGACCTTATCTCAATCGCTCCCACAACCCCCCAACCCTGGTGTCCCTCTCAGGAGGCTGAGGCAGGAAGATCATTTGAGGTGAGACCAGCCTGGGATACCAAGTGAGCTCAAGGCCAGCCTGAGTTGCATAGTGAGACCTGTTTCAAAAAACAAACACACAAATAACAGCCCCTGGTGTCCACAGCAAAGCCAGCCAGGCTCCAGGACTTTGGAAAGCTCCCCATTGACTCCCACAAGCAGCTGAGGCGAGTGTGGGCAGAGGTCCTCAAAGAAGAAGGCTGGGAACTCCGGCTGCTGCGTGGGAGACACGAAAGCCAGGCTCCAGACCCCATGTGAACCCCAGGCGGCAGCTAGGCTAAGGTCTCAGGCGTAAACAACAAAAGCTAAGGTTAAACAAAAGGGGGCAGGGACGCAGCGCAGTGGTGACCACTTCCCCAGTACCAGCAAAAAGAAAATAAATAAACATAATACCACTGGGTTAAAAATAAAGATTAATTGGTAAGTACAAGGGCCTGAGTTCAATCCCTGGTTCTGGAAAAAAAAAAAAAAGATTAAAAAATACATTAGGAGAATGTGTTTATAACCACAGAACATAAGGCTTTGGCGTTCAATCAAAAGCCAAATGCCCTAAAGCAAGAATAATTGCCAGGCATGGTGGCACATGCCTGCAGTCCTGACTACTGAGGAGCTGAGTCACGAAGATGGCAAATCAGAGCTCAGCCTGTAAAAACTACTGACTTAGAGGCCATGTGTCAAAATAAAAAGGGCTGAGGATATAGGTCAGTAAGAGCCTCTGGGTTCAATGCCCAGTACATCACACAGACAAAAAGTAACAACAAAAAACCCCACTCTACCCCAAACACTCTGGGGAGCTGGGACAGGGGCTGCACCTGCATGTGTGGATGCCAGCCCAAAGGCCCGAACTCCCAGGTGGCAGCACAAGCCCAGGAAGGTGGCACTTTGTGCCACTGTGTCACAGCTGAGCCCAGGCACGCTAAACATCTACTTCCCAGGGAAGCTGTGTTTTCCTTTCCCTCCATTACTCACCCCTGTAGCAGGGTTCACAGAGCTACATCCCCAGACCTTTTTAACAAGGTTTTACTTTGAGACAGGGTCTCGCTAAGTCACCCAGGCTGGACTTCAACTTGCAATCCTCTTGCCTCAGCTTCCCAGGGCGGCTGGAGGACAAGTGCGCGCTGCCACATGTGCAAGGCTATTTTCTAAAGCAACAAAGCTGTTCACTGAGAAACCTTTGAAAACTAGGTACTCTTATCATACACACCTCTTGGGACAAAGCCAGTGACCAGACACTGGACCTACAGACTTTTCCAGAAATAAAAGTACCCACTTTTGTGTGTGTGTGTGTGTGTGTGTGTGGATGGCTTAGCCCCCCGTGCGAGTAGGGCTGGCATGGCAGGTGGTGCTGGGAACCAGTGCTTGGACTTGCCTAAGTTTGCCTAAGCAGCTGCTTTAGACTGCTGAGCTATCTTGCCGGCCCAAGAGTACCCACTTTTTCCAAAAGGCCCATGACACTGAATGGGAAGGTGGCTGGTCAGAAGATACATCAAGTTCTTTCTTTTTTTTTAATACTGGGAATCAAATTCAGGACCTTGTGCTTGCCAGGCAGGTGCCTATGCCACTGAGCTCCATCCCTGGCCCAACCTTTAGGTTAAAAACAAAACAAAACAAAACAAAACAAAACAAAACAAGACAAAACAAAACCAGAAGAGCCTCAGAGGGTAAGTGAGACAAAGGAAGGTGCTGTTTACCTTAGGAGCCTGTGGGATCTTTGGTTTCTGGAAGAACCTGGTGATCTCAGCCTTCTCTGCCTTAATGCGCTGCAAGGGGAGAAGAGAGTGGGAACAGGGAAGAATGGGTTTAGAGCTCCAGCAGAAACACCCAGGTGTCCCTTACGCAAAGACACCCTTCAGACTGCGGTGCTCCACCCACCAGCCCAGACTCAGAGGCCAGAGCTGCCCTGGGTGCCAAGCAAGCACGTGTGACAAAGAGCACTGAGATGCATGAACAGGCTCCTGGTCCCCACAGATCCCCAAGGCAGCACAAAGGACAGCAGCACAGGCGAAGATGCCATCTCCCACAGGGGTTTCCCAGCAAGGTCGGGAGGAGGGCAGAAAGCACACTACCTTTTCTTCCTCCCGTAACCGTTTCTCCTCCTCCTTTTTCCTCTTCTCCTCCAGCTTAGCCCTGTAAGACAGCAAATCACGTGTGAGCCAACCTCTACCTTGGGTTGCACCAGTGATCGGAGCACTCAGCTGCCAGTGCCCAGTGGTTTATCCTGCAGGCAATGTTTATAAATTATGAATGTCTACAATAAGGCTATGACATAGGCATTCACAAAGAAAAACAAAAAATACTCAATACCCTCAGGTGTGGTGATGCTGTTTGCCTGTCATCCCAGCACTCCAGGAGGCTGAGGCAGGAAGATCACAAGTCCAAGCCCAGACTGGGCAACTTAGTAAGACCCTGTCTCAAAATAAATAATAAAAAGGACTGCAGATGGAGCTCTGTGCAAAAGGCCCTGGGCTCAATACCCAGCACCATAAAGCAAAAAAAAAGCTCTTGGTATAAATTTTCAAACCTGAAAAACAAATAAATCTCAGCCAGCTGGGTAGTCATCAGCAGGGATACAAGACAAAAGTGTGGAGAGTCCAGGACAGTGGAGCCAGCCCAGAGCGAGAGCCTAATGTCCTGCCACTCCTGCTAGGGGCCTCTGTCCACCCTCAGCGAGAAGCATGAGGACCAGCAGGAACTGCCTTCTGAATGGCTGGCCCAGGACCAGCACAGGGGGCTGCGGCCGGGAACGGGGCCACGCGGACACTCACTCCAGGGCCTCCTGCCTCTCCCTGCGCCGCTCTTCCTTGCGCCGCTGCTTTTCCGCCTTCTCCTTCTCATCCTTCTCCCGCTTCTCCCGCCTCTCCTTCTCCTTCAGCTCCTTCTCCTCCTCCTTTCTCTTCCGGGCCTCCTCTTTGGCGCGCCGGGCCTCCTCTTTCAGCTTCTCCTTCTCTTCCCGCAGCTGCTCTTTATCCTAGGAGAGGACCTGACAGCTGAGACAGTGCCACCATGTGAGTCCCCCATGCCACACCCGGTCTTTGAAACAGAAGAGAATGAGCAGAAGGCTGGTGCAGGGCAAGCCTGCAGTCCCCACACCTCTGGCAGAATCTTTTGCAAAGGCCTGAGAGATAGAGGGAAGAAAGGGAAAGGGTCAAAAAACAAATAAACAGGCTGGGGCAGGGCTCAGGGTGAAGGCCCTGGGCTCAACCACCAGTACCACTAAAATGAACAAAAAACAAATTCTCAGTTGGCCTTGTTGGAGCTCAGGTCAGTCTAACAAAGACACTGGGCCATTCTGAGAAAGACTGAGAGCTTCCAGCCAAGAATCCTGTGTTATGACAGACACGGGGGTCCCAAGGCGGATGGGCAGGATGGGTGCAACAAGACCTTCGGTACAACTGCAGGTAGGAAGAGCTGTTCCCAGTGCCAGCGAAGGAGCCCAGGCCTAGAAATCACAGGTGAGGCCGATCTGTCCAGTCACATAGAGGGCAAGTTAGGGCCAGGCTGACACTTAGCTGTGCAGCAATTGGATCTAGATTCCAGCTCTGCGGGGCCGGGGAGATAGCTCAGTAGAATAAGCGCTTGCCTGGCAAGTACAAGGGCCTGAGTTCAATCCCCAATTCCACAAAAAAATAAAAAAATAAAAACAGATTCCAGCTCCATGACACCCACTCCCCCACACCTCCAAAACAAGAAACCAGTCAGAATCTGACCCACAAAATCTAAGTGTCAAGGCATGAAGAGGCTTGAGAAACACTGAGGAACACAACCCACTGTGGTGAGCACCCTTTCCTGGACCTGCAAGGCCTGGGAACACCCAGTGGACTTCCTTGGGCTTTGCTGCACTAAGAAGACTGTGCTGGGCATGGTGCCACATTCCTGCAGTCCCAGCACCCTTGGGAGCTGAGGAAGAGGGACTGCAAGTTCAAGTCTAGCTAGGCAACTTTGCAAGACCCTTACTTTTGGCGGAACCGGGGATTGAACTCAGATCCTTGCGTTTGCCAGTCAAGCGCTTATCCTACTGAACCATCTCCCCGGCCCCAAGACCCTTACTTATTACTCAAAAGAAGGTATGGGAATAAAACCTAGGGGCCCTATGCATGCTACACAAGCACTTACCACTGAATCCCACCCCAGCACTTACTTTCTTTCTTTTTTTTTTTTTTTTTACCGGGGATTGAACTCAGGCCCTTGCACTTGGCCAGGCAAGTGCTTATTCCACTAAGTCATCTCCCCGGCCCCTAACCCAGCACTTTCAAAAGCAACTCTAAGCTACAGGACACCCAACCATTCAACCACTAAACCAGTAATGCTTTGTTTTTGTTGTTGTTTTGTTTTGTTTTTGGCGGAACCAGGGGTTGAACTCAGGCCCTTGCACTTGCCAGGCAAGCACTTATTCTACTGAGCCATCACTCTGCACCCCCCCTTTTTTTTGAGACAGGGTCTTGCTATGTAGTTCAGGCTAGTCCTGAACTTTCAGTGATCCGTCTGCCTCAGCCTCCCCAGTGCTGGGGTTACATATTATTACTACTGCTAATAAAACCTGAGAAGTAGCTGGGTGTGGTGGCACATGCTTGTCATCCTAGCTATTTGGGAAACTGAGACAGAAGAATCCCAAATTCATATTCAGTCTGAACAACTTAGTAAAATCCTATTTCAGAGTTTAAAAAAAAGAGGGGGCCAGGGATATAGCTCAGTGTAAAGGTCTTGGGTTCAATCCCTAGTACACAAAGTGAAAACAAAAAAACAAGGTTTAGGAGGGTTGAGAAGCTGGGCGTGGTGGCAAATGCTTGTGATGCCAGCATTCAGGAGGCTGAAGCAGGAAGATCAGTGTTTGAGGCCAGCCTAGGCTACAAAGTGAGATCAAGGCCAGTCTGAATGGTCTGGCAAGATGTTAGAAAACAACAATAGGGGCTGGAGAGATGGCTCAGTGGTCTAAAGCACCTACTTAGAACAAGCTTAGCAAAAGCATCAGGGACCGCGG